CCCCGTGGCCTCCTGCATCTGGCCTCCCACGCGTGAGAGGTCGTGTTACTCTGCTTTCAGCTGTTCAGTTGTGTTTCTTGCTTCTCTTCCTGTGCAACGCTGTGTCCTCAGTGTGGGTTCACGGTGGCCTGCGACCTGCCTGGCGGTGCCCTCCCCAGCCTCCCACCACGTGCTTTCACAGCAGTGGTGATGTAGCAGGTGGGCTGCTGGGTCGTGATGCATATACGTGTCACTATTTAACTGCGCCACCAGCGAGCTTGTATTTGGGACGGCGTTAGCTTGGGGAGACTCCCGGGACGCTGGTACGAGACTGGCGCAGATGGCTCGGGGAACCTGGTTCCGTGCGAAGGTCCTGCGCTTGTTTATGAGTTGTCCATCGTCAGTTTGGTTCGTTACTCTTTTTAAAGAAACTAGAGGAGTTGGAGAAAGAGGAAGAGCTGAGGGCAGCTGCGGGCGAGTACGACAGTGAGCCTGAGAGTGACGACGACGAAATGGGGGAGATCCGACAGCTGGCGAAAGAAATCAGAGAAAAAAAGAAGCTGAAAATTCTGCAGTCCAAAGAGAAGGACACACAGGGACCCAGAATGCCGCGGACCGCTAAGAAGGCAAGTTTCGCACCTCTTGGTGAGGTGCCCCGCCTGTCTGCGTGCGGGTCCCCACGCGGTCACGCCTGGTGCAGCATCTCCACCCGTGTGGCCACACGCGGGGCTCGCCCCGTTCTCTTGGAGTGTGTTGATTTTCAAGGTTGGTTGAGTTCATCTTTTACATGGTGACTCTCATGCCTTTGTTGATTTTCAAAGTTTAGGACTCTTGGATTCAACCATTCTGCAGTTATGCAAAGTAAGATCAGAATTTATGATTTCCAGCCATAGGTTAGCACGTTCTCGTTCTTAAACTATTTTATTGATCAGAACTCATGTTTGTAATTTATGGAAAAAACCCGATCTCATGTATACACGAAGGCAGTTTGTTGGCTCCTGTGACCGTGAGCTGCAGGTGGGCCCGTGAGGTCTGAGGGCTTGCCAGCTCGCAGCTCTGTCTCCGTAGGGTCTTCCTCTCACATTCTCATCAGGGTAGCAGGTAAGGCTAGGTCCAGTGGTCGTCACCAGACCACGGGTGTGGCAAAGGCTGGGGACAAGTCCCCAAAGAAAGAAGATGATGCACGAGACAGTTAAATTGCAGTGAGGCAGGCAGGAGCGGGACAGCGCTGTAGACCCCTCACGGGTGCGCCTGTGCTTGGCACTTTTCGTGCGATGGCACGTGAGTGGTTCTCAGCAGGTGAAAGTGTGCCCCTGGCAGTCCCCTGACCTCAGCCTCTGTGGCCTCATGCGCACCCAGGGAACCCGCTCGGAGTTGCGCAGGATCCAGGATGAGGTGTGCGCTGCGCTGCACGTGACAACTACCTTATAAATGTTATTTCTCGTGGCGTGGAATGAACTGCCCAAAAACAGGAACCCACGTAAAAGAGTGAGAGGTGTGTCACGGATCATTTACAAGGCACATCTTCCCCTGAGTTTTGTTTCCTTAAACGTTCATCAGACTGACTTTGCTTAAAATAAACGTCCTCTCCCGCCTTTCAGGTTCAGCGGAAAGCCTTGGAGGATGAGATGCGCAGCCTCGGTGTCGCCGTGGGTGGTGATGAGAACGTGAGTGCGAGGTGCTCTCTGGTGCTTGCGTGGCTGGGTGCAGCTGTGCCTTAGGGACCCCAGGGCCTCAGGCCTTGTAAATCACAGGCGGCCAAGGGCGAGCTGAGAGCAGCCAGTCTTCCTGTCGGGGCGCCTCTTGGCCTGAGAGCGTGGTTGGAGGTGGCTGGTTGAGAACGGAACGTGTTGGTCCCTCTCGGGGAACAGGTCGGGCGTTTGACTCAAAGGGCCATGCTGTGGGGACAAGGCGGCGCCCCAGACTCAGTTCCT